ATATGCAAAATACTTTAAAAATAGCATATATATATATATATATATATATATATATATATATATGCATATATAAGCATGTATAAGGCTTTTATAATTTTTCTATAATTTTAAAGATTTTAAATTAATTTATTTCCTCCCCTTTTACTCATAAAATCCCGAATAATTATCCATCAAGTCATTATTGTGGTAATTTAGTCATCTAAATTCTATATTTAGGTCAAAATATTGCTAAAATATTTTTAGTGCATTTTTATAATTGTATTTTATATTTTAAAGCTAATTTGCATATAATTACAATACTAGCCCTGTTAATGTATAAGTACATTTATATGCATAAAATTGATCTTCTATATTTTTTTAAAAAGCGTTAAATATCTATTTTAAATCATTTTAGTACACGAAATTATTTTTTAGAAATTATCTATTATTTATTATAAATTATATGGGGATAAATTGGCTATTTAAAATCTAGCCAAATTGCATTTCAATTTTAGCCTCAATTAAACCCAATACCCCAGCCCGATTTCGGGTTAAATAACCCGACCCAGGACCTAAAAATGCACCTACCCGGCCCAAAACCCGTCAAATCCTAGCCGTTGATCTAAAAGATCAACGGCCCTCGTTCAGTCTTGCCTTTTTTATTCCAAACGACCCCCCAACCCTAACCATTTCCCCACATCCGCCGCCCTAAGATCCTCTCCTCTCTCAAAGCACTCTCAACCTAACCCTAGTCTTCAACCACCGACTTCCCATCTCTGGCTATCTCCGGTGACCTCTCATCGTCTCTTGAACCTCCAATGGCTTCTCTCATGCCATGCTTGCCTTCTCTAAGGTCTTCAAGGGCCCAGGGCCATGCCAACTTGCATCTAGGGTTCGTCACTTGCCTGTTCTTGGCTACTCCAGTGTGATTTCAAGCAAAATCACTCTGTATTTACAACGATCCTTGGGTTTTCTAAGCAGGTTCTTCATCTCTATATGGGTTTCTTTCGAAACCCTAATTACTTATCTATACCTCCTAGATCTGTACAAATCTAGGACGATTTGAGTTTGTTTCTTTAATATTTTACAATGTCCTTGGAACTCTTTACAAGAATCGTTGATTTCAAGTGTTTTTCACCTTCTTCTAAAAATTAGGGTTTTGAAAAAACCTTGTTTAACTGATTCTTTGTGTTTAAACTTCTATTTCTTGCGTATTTTGACTGATTCTATGATTTTACTACATCTTTAACTCGTCTATGTTGAAAGCCCTAATTTTCTAGGTTTCTTCGTTTGATTTTTGTGACTGGCCGGTTCTCGTTTGAGTTTCTGTGACTATCTCGCCTCGAATATGTTTCTACTGAGTTTCTTAGCCTAGCTTATATCAACTCTATGTGCTTCTGTTCATCTTGACTGTTCAAGACTTGCCTCTTTGCTTGCTATGTCTGGTAATTCTTATCTTACTCTATTTATATGCTAAACACTGACTTGTGACTTTTTCTTTGATTGATTCTGGATCCCTGTTTCATGGTTTGATTGGAAGACCTTCCTTTAAACCTCCGATTCCTGCCCTTTCTATTCAATTTGATTGATTCGCCTACCTTGTCTGTATTGGTACTTTATTCTTACTGACTATCTCCTTAATTAGAGTTTTTCTGAACTTAGCCCTAATTGTTTACCATATACTTACTATATTTGAAATCTTTCCTTATTGGTCGTACATTGATTTCTTTCCTTATTTGTTACATGTTCTTACCGTTTGAACTGATTCCCTTAAATTAAGGGAGTACTTGTACTGATTTTGCTCTAATTGGTTCTGAGTTCCATAATTACTATACTATTGTGATTCTTGCCTTATTTTACCTAGTTTCGAACTACTATATATACATACTCTCTCATTAACACAAAGAGAAGAACAAATTGGTTCAAAAAAAAATAGCTCTCTCAAACTCAAAACTTTTCTGCTCCCTCTTTGGTTACTTGCTATCATTCTGAGTTAGCCGGCTGCAAGCCAAGGCTAACTATTGTGCTTTCCTATTCCTCACTTTGTGTTTACCATCTCTCTACTGGTATGTTCTGATTTCAATTCAAGTCTCAAAACCAATATGTTTCTTTTACTACTTCAGTTTATCATGTTTCTAGTTTGTTTCTGTCTATGGTTCTGTTGTTCAACATGCAATTGACATGCTTACATTACTGCTTCATCTAGCATGCTAGTCTAACCCTCGCTTTTCAGAACATGTTCTACCCCCTCCCCTAGTAGTCTGTCTCAACATGACTCTACCTTACTTTGAATGCTTGTCTACTTGTTATCCAGTTTTGATGTGCAAGCTGATCTGTCACTTTAAAAGGCTGATTCTATGATTGTTTCTGAAACTCTTACTGTATTGGTACCAATAGCTATCCCCTAGTCCCTTAAACCCCACAAGAACTGCTATGTTCCTGATATTGTGTGCTCTATGTGTCCCCAATTCCCATTCCCCTGTATGAAGGACTGTTATTTGAGTATTGCAGAACATGTTTGACTGACCTGCTGTTTGTTTAATTACACCACTGTTTTCAAAAGCTGTTTTCCCAACAACTCTCTTGCTTACAAAGTTATTTCAACTAAGTCTCTTTTTTTACACTGTTTTTCCTACTGAAACCTTTTCAAACTATGCCAAGCACTCTCACTCTGTTCCTAAGTCCTTAGGTTCTGCCCCCTCTAGTGTGTGTACTGCCTTGGGATCCTTTTGAGAACCCTCTGAACTCTGGCACACTGAGGCTGGCCCTTCCACACTGCACTTACTCAATTTTGTTACAAAGTCTAGGTGTGAGCATATCCCGGGATCCTTGAGATCCTTAGGGAACTCTGACGCACCTAGACAATGATATTGTCTTTGAAATTGGCATTTGAGGCTATTGGAGGTTTGGGGAAATCACTTGGGCATGCTTCAGGCTCCCTATAGTGTAACTTCTTCTTTTTCTTTATCTATGTAATTCATTCATCTGGTTTGTAATAATTTGTAAGCGAATATTGGGGTGATTAGTAAAAAGGGTGGGTAGTTACATATTTGTGGGGTAATATGGGTAGAAACCATGCCTATAGGACCTCATATTTGCTATGTCTGTCCTACTATGTTAGAAACCATGCCTATAGGATTTCATATATTTGCTATGTTTGCCTCACTATGCTAGACATCATGCCTATAGGTTTTACAATCAACTTCTCAAATAGATATCATACTTAAGCATGTAATCAAGTTCAAGTTTCTGTTCCAATGGTTGTTTACATTTATTTCTGCTAGAAATCATGCCTATAAGTTTATAAACAACTAGATATCATAGGGAACAACATCAAAAACTCTGCATGTAGATCTAAAAATCAGTTTAGTTTAAATAAGTCAATCCAGTTCATGATTAGTTTACTTTGAAACTGGTCTAATTAGTGGTTTGTTTTCCCTGAAATGAATTCTTTCGAGTACTGCTCTAATTTACTATTAGAAAGCATGCCTATAGGAACTCAAGAGTCTGTTTTAAAATCTGCCCACTGTTTTACTATATCAAACATAGTTATCATGCTCTTAGGACACCACTATTCAGCGTGTAGGCAAGCCTATAGGGCGTTTTCAAATCCTGCAACTCTGAAACTGTTTCTGCTACTTAATGTTGTTCTGATTTAACAGGCTTAAAATCAGTAGGCAAACTGATAGGGCCATTACTTCTGAGTTTATAAAACAAACTGCCTATCTTCTATGTCTTGATATTCACTTAGACATCATGTCTTAGGATACCGTTTAACAATACGGCCCTTATTTGTGTTTGAGTCGTGCCGCTTATGTGCGTTGTTTGTGGAGGTAAACTTGGGCCTCTAATTGCTTCTTTTCTGCCTTATGTGCTAAGGTCCTATTTTTTCTTGCCTGTCGCCTTAGTATTTTCTCCTTTAAACCTTAGGGGTCTGTCTAGAACTGCCTATAGGTAAAGGTCCTAAATTTCCTCTAGGACCATTAAGAAGGGACGGGTAACAGCACGCAATAGAGATCACTAACCAACACTTGCTTTAATAACCACTAAGGGGGTGGAAAGGGTAGATATTGGATATGATGACTACGCACTAATGTCACGTGTAGCCCCTCATTGAGGAGTGTTTACCAGACATTGTGTGGGGTGATCCTGTAGGCTAAACAACCTAGGACCCTCCTTTCCCAAATCCCTTCTGTTTAAAACCTTGTTTATATGTATACAACTTGCTCAAATCTTTGTCTATTATCTGAGTCATACAATATCCAACCTGCTCTTATTTGCAATTATGTGTATAAAAACTATTTGTTTGACTAATTCATGAGTTAAGTTCGGTCGGGACCCACCGTTGTGGACCGCGATGGTGCCTACCACCTTCCCCTCAAGGTTATTTCGAGCCCTTACCCTAAATCTCTGGTAATGCAAACCAATCCAAGATTTAATCGCTCTAGGTGCCCTAACTCACCGTAATCCGTTAGGTGGCGACTCTTCAAATACCCAATTCCAAAAAGGAAATGAGTTGTTCCCCCATGAATGTCGAAACCCGGACTTTCTTCGCGGAGGAAAAAAGGGGGCGCGACACCCACGCCACACTTTATATTGTGGAATGTCCCCATGACACACAAATAAAAAGCAAGAGGTAAAGAAAACTTCCCTGAACATCTAGTCGGGGTTTGAGTCGATGTTGGGCTCCATCCCTCGTGCCCAAACTAATCACACATCCATGCGGACAACTTCTTCTTGGCCTTCTTTGGGTACACCCCACACTTTTATTTCTCACTCACTGCAGCCTTCTCTTTCGCACCCTTCATTTTCCATACTCACAGCTGGTTTGTCCTTTTGTGCCCCCTTTGTTACATCCATCTTGAAAGTCAGTTTCCTCACCCACTCTAAGAATGAGTTTTCTCTCTTGTATATCTAATATAGCTCTACCTGTCGCCAAGAAAGGTCTTTCAAGAATGAGGGGGACCTCCTTGTTCTCTTCCATATTAACCACTATGAAATCCACAGGAAATACAAACTTATCCACCCGAACTAACACACCTTCCACTATCCCCTCGGATGTTATAGTCGTTTGGTCTGACAGCTGCAAAGATATGGGTGCATACCTTATCTCTCCAATCTCCTGCTCCAATTTCCTGTAGATCGATAGAGGCATTAAATTAATTGAAGTACCAGAATCACATAAGCATTAATCAAAATTAATAGTTCCTAAAGAGCAAGGTATGGTGAAACTCCCTGGATTTCCACACTTTTGTGGGAGTTTATTTTGCAATATTGCGCTGCAATGCTCTGTGAGCTTGACCACTGAGGCTTCCTCTATTTTCCTCTTCTTCGTAAGGATCTCTTTCAAGAATTTAGCATAAGCAAGCATCTGTGAGAGCACTTCTATGAATGGTAAGTTTACATGAACCTATTTCAGCACATCTAGAAATCTCTCGAACTGCTTGTGCAACTTTTCTCTACTTAGCTTTTGGGGAAAAGGTAGCGCAGTCATATGCTTGATCGCCTCAGGTTCCTCGCTTCTCGAGTTTTCTTCCTTCTTCTTTTTGACACCACTTTTCAATTGCTCCCTGCTTTCTTTTTCATGTCTCATATCTTTTTGAATTGGAGTGAGATCTTTCAACACTTGCCCACTTCTTAAGGTTACAACATTTACTATTTCTTTGGGATTTCTTTCTATATAAGCCAGGAGTGTTCCTGGGATCCTCTCAGACATTAGAGTAGCTAAGTGCCCAACCTGTATTTCCAGGTTTCGAAAGTATGTACCCAATTATTTGATAGCTGCACCATGGGCATCAAGCCTCTCATCTGTCTTGATAATGAAGGCCTTCATAAGATCTTCCATGCTGGATTGATTCGGCTGTGGAGACTGATATTGGTGCCTCTGCTAATTTTGAAAACCTGGGGCTCCGTGTTCCTGAAATCTGGGCTTGTTTTGTTGCCATGCATTTGCAGTCTCCCCAGGTGAACTCCACGAAAAACCGGGGTGCCTCTGACCCATTGCATTAAAATAATAGTTTCCTACAACATTCACTTCCTCAGTTGAGGCTTGACACTCATGAGTAGGGTGTCCCCTTCCACATATATCACAAGTTGCGTGAGGTACATTTTGCATCGAGGCTACAGTTAGTTTCCGTATTTTTTTAGCCATAGCATCAAGTTGTACTTGCACATATATAGTAGCATCAACTTGGTGAACACTAGTTGATTTTCTTCTTTTCGCACTCTCAGAGGGCCACTGATTAGCATCTTCGGATAACTCATTAAGAATTGTAACTATCTCCTATGGAGTCTTCTTCATCAAGAGGCCTCTGACTGCATTGCTCAATGTTCTATACGAGGCTGGTGTTAATCCTTCCCAAAAGTCCTGGAGTTGCATCCAGACTTCAATTCCACTATGTTGACACTTTCTAACTATCTCCTTAAACCTCTCCCATGCTTCAAAAATAGTTTCAGTCTCTTTCTGGGAGAAGTTATGAATTTCTCTTCTGAACTTGCCCGTCTTAGCCGAGGAGAAATATTTATCAAGGAATTTTCTGGTCATCTCCTCCCATGGTCTAATTGATCCATTGGGCAAGCTTCGAAGCTACTGCTTCGTATCATCTTTAAGTGAAAAGGGGAATACCCTTAAGTAAACTGCATCTTGTGACACCCCATTGTATTGAAAGGTATTCATAATCTCCTCGAAGTCCATTAGATGCATATTTGGATCTTCGTTCATTTTCCCTCTGAAGACACAGCAGTTCTGAATGGTTTGAAGCAACCTTTGCTTTAACTCGAAATTGTTTGTTGTAATTGGAGGTGATCTAACACTTGATAATCCTTGATAGTAGACTGGCCTGGCATAATCACCCAATGCTCTACCAGGCTTGGGTACCGCATTCTTGAACTGGTCTTCACTCAAGGGTCGATTTAGATTGAATCTTCGATCCCTATTGTCTTCTATGGTTTCCTCAGCAGCTCTATGGGCTGCATCAGCTGCCTCTCTTGCAGCTGCCTCTACCTCGTCGTCACCATTATTAGCCATGTGTTCTTGGGTTAAAGGTTTCCCCAAGAACTTTACGGTGAACTCTTTCTCCTTCCTCGGTTTCCGCAGATGTTTTTCCAATTCCGGTTTGTAGGGTATTACTTCTTTAGAAGAGGATCATGTCATACACCACAGACTTAGCTTGTTGCCTGCACACGGAGGAGAAATCCGTAAAGAACAAAATAAAAGTAAAAATAAAAAAATAAATTCCTGAATTAGTACTACACACTATTGATTGTCAATCCCCAAAAACGGTGCCAAAATTTGACGAGCGCAAAACACACACTTAAATTATGCTCGCTAATCAAAGATAGTCTAGTATAATATCGTATCCATAGGGATTGGATTTAAACAGTATTCTCGTAGTTTCTAGCTTGATTGCTTTCCAGGAGGATCAACAATTGAGATTTATATGATTAAGAATCGAAATTAACTAAGAATCTACAGCTATTGACTAGTGACTATCGAGACAAGGAATAAGCAAATAAAGTTATCAGTGGGAGAAGATATGGTCTTGACAGGATAGGTGCAAGATAATTGTTTGGGATCTAACTCTAGATAATTCACTTCCAATGTTCGAGTGAGTCTCACGAATTCACTCTAATATTAGTTCAAACACTCAGCAAAAACTTCTCTCTCGATTAAGTCTTAACCTTACGAGATGAACTAATTTAAGCACTGTGAAGATATGCAAGAATGCGTAGTGGATCGGTCTTTAGGAAAACTGTCACGACCCTAAACCGACCGGTCGTGATGGCGCCTCTCGTGAAGACAAGGCTAGCCGACACAACACCCATATTAACCCTTTAATCATTAAGAGTCATTTTTAAGCCTTTAGTTAAACAATATTTCATAATATAAGTCTGAATGAACAGTGCGGAAATAACATACAAGCCCAACATCGGGGTGTCACTAGTCATGAGCATCTACCAAGGGCTAAATACACAAAGACGATCAAAAATGTACTAAGTACAGAAATAAAAATGAGAGGAAGGAAGCTATGCTGCGAACGTCGTGCAGCCACCTTGCTAACTCTGATGACTCCGCGTCTGAGCAACCAACACCCGCTACCGGGTTTTGAAATACCTGAATCTGCACACGAGGTGCAGGGAGTAATGTGAGTACTCCAACCCAGTAAGTAATAAGAGTAAATAAAGACTGAGCAGTAGGAAAAAATGAATCCACATTTAGAATAAACTCAATAAGCACAACAGGCTTTCAAATCAGAATACGAGTCAATCGTCTCATTTAAAATCTAGCTTTTGGTATAAATCATTTGAAAATACTTTCCAACAGTTTTCGTAGGGGTTCAACAGCATTTATAATAAAAGAGATGAAAACCATAATCGGCCCCTCGTGCAAAACGTAGTTCGTAAACAGCCCCTCAGGCAAAACAGGAATCATAAACACCTCTTAACATAAAACTCTCAGTGGAAATAACCAAGCCAAATCAGTGAAAAAATACCAAATACCTCATAAAAACACCAGCTAAAATGAAAGTTGTTTAAAGACATTTGTTCAACATTTTCAACAGAGGCTCAGTATAAAGAGGAGTGAAAACAGCAATTATATCAACAAGCCCCTCGGGCAAAGCATCACTCATATATGTATATATGTATATGGATCGGGCTGCACGCCGCAGCGATATAGCGCTTGGCCTGTAGGAGCCCCTCCGGAGTCTGCACACCCCCAGTGAGCGCCGTCGACGAGATATATGGATCGGGCTGCACGCCGCAGCGATATATGGATCGGGCTGCACGCCGCAGCAGTTACTATATGGTACTTATTGAGTGTGAGTGCTGAGCGTGAGCGCTGGCTGATGAGAGTTGAGTCTCGAGTGACTGAGAGGCTGAGAGGCTTGCCCGAGGGTGAGGAGATCCATATATATATATATATATATATATTGCTACGGCGTGCAGCCCGATCCATAGATATATATAATCCTCACAGTCAGGCCCTCGGCCTCTCTCAGTCATTAACCTCACCATCAGGCTCTCAGTCTATCTCAGTTATCAACCTCACAATTAGACCCTCGGTCTATCTCCGTAATCAACTCACGATCACTCGGACCATCAGTAAAACAGGGAACTCAACCCAAACAGTTTTCACATTTTTTTTAAGAATATAGTGATAAGGCCAGATTTAAGCAATAACAGGTAAAACATGACTGAGGATATGCTTTCAAACAAAAGAGTGTGGAAAAATAGTAAAAATGCCCCTAAGGGTCTCAACAAGTCGACACAAGGCCCCAAACATGGCATACAACCCAAAATATAATAATATCCAACAATTAGCTATCAAATACGCATTAAAATAATCATTCGGGATGGACTAAGTCACAATCCCCAGCGGTGCTCTACCCCACGCTCGTCATCTAGCGTGTAAGTCACCTCAACATTCACCACGATGTGTAATCCGGGGTTTCAAACCCTCAGGACAGTATTTACAATCATTACTTACCTCAATCCGAGCAAGATCCTACTCCGAAATGTCATTGCCCCTTGAATTGGCCTCCAATCGACCCGAATCTAGTCACAGTTAATTCAATTCAGTCAAACTAATTATAGGAATTAATTCCATATGAAAATACTAATTTTTCCAACAAAATCCGAAATTTAACTCAAAATTGCTCGTGGGGCCCACGTCTCGAAATCCGACGAAACTCACAAAATCCGAAATTTAACTCAAAATTGCTCGTGGGGCCCACGTCTCGAAATCCGACGAAACTCACAAAATCCGACAACCCATTCAACCACGAGTCTAACCATACCAAAATTACTAATTTTCGATAACATTTCGACCCTCAAATCCTCAAATATATCCAAGAGGGTTTTCAAACTTTTCCAACTTAAAATCACCAATTACATGTTAAAAATAATAATGGATTCGGGTAACCTAACCAAAATTGAGTTAAGAACACTTACCCCGATGTTTTTCTTGAAAATCTCTCGAAAAATCGCCTCACCCGAGCTCCCTTGGTCCAAAAATGGAAGAGTGAGACGAGTTTGGACTTTATTCTACTGCCCAGGGATTTGTTCTTCGCGTTCGCGGTCCTCCTCTTGCGTCCGCGAAGAACAAAATTTCCAAAAATCATTTTTCAAACTCTTCTCGGACAGCCTCTAGTATAATGGCAATAACTTTTGCTGCAGATGTCCAAATAACTATTATAATATGTTTCTGGAAACTAGATTCAACATTTTTGAATCATCTCAAAATTCATTGTAGATTGAGAGATACGAGCCTCCGAAGTAAGACCTGCGCAACAGAATTTCTTCTTCTTCGCGAACGCGAGGCTCTCTTCGCGAACGCGAAGAACAAAATCCCAGAAGCCAAATCCTTCTTCGCGAACACGAGGGGACCCTCGCAGACGCGAAGAACAATACCAGATACCAGCTTCAGCTATTGAAAAACAGCCCGAAATGATCCGAAACCACCCCGAAACACACCCGAGGCCCTCGGGACGTCAACCAAACACGCCAACATATCCCATAACATTATTCAAACTTGTTCCAACCTTCGGAACGCTCAAAACAACATTGAAACACCAAATTTGCATCGGATTCAAGCCTAAGAATTTCAAGAACTTCCAAATTCCGTTTTTGATCAAAAACTCAACCAAACCACGTCTGAATGACCTGAAATTTTTACGCACACGTCATAAATGATACAACGAAGCTACTGAAACTTCC